ATCCCACATGTTATCTGTTTCACTGCAAAAATCCCTCCAGGATTGTTGTTTTGCTTTCTTCCTTTCTTTTACGAAAAGTCTTCTGGCCTCCCTATATTTTTCCATCTTGTCTGCAGATTGCCGACGTTTATCCCCTAATTTGAGTAGTTCCATCTTCAGGTGTTGCAATTCATTGTTCCACCATCTGTGCGGCCGACATTTCGGTGCTTTTTTCATTGGTGCGGCTTGATTAAGTGCATTATTTAAAATCAAATATAATTCCTCTAAACTATTATTCATATCTTTTACTTCCATTAGTTGTTGCTGATCTATCGCATCGTCAGTAGTTTTCTCAAACTTTTCCCAATCTCCTCTTCTGAAATTCCGGCTCCATCTTGTTCCTGGTAAAAATTTACCAAAGGAGTACTTAATATAATTATGATCAGAAAAATTATGCCTTCGGTCAACTCTCCATTCCTCCAGTCCAAGTTCAAGGAGTGCCCGCTCATTCATTAATGTGATATCAATAATACTTTTATGTTCTCCGGCTTCAAATGTCCAAGTACTTCCATTGTTTGCTACGGTAAGCTGCAATTCATGAATAAGATCTTCCATCAATTCCCCTCGATTGTTTGACTCTTTACATCCCCACAGGGGGCTGTGTGCATTGCAGTCTAGTCCTGCTATTAATGGGATATTTTCATCATTGCATCTCTTTATAAGTGATACCCACATAGGTTTTTTTACTGGTAGTTTAATGTCTAAGTATACTGAACAAATATATGTTAGTTTCTTTTGTACTTTGATAGCTACAGTGGCTATATCCCTGTCAGAAAATTCTTCCACTAACCATGGTTCTAGGGAGGGATGTACACGAATACATGCCCTTGGTTGCTTTACCCCTGCTTTTGCATAGATCCATTGACCATTACTGTCATAAAAGGTTACTTTACCCTGTTTATATACATATGGTTCCGTTATCATCAATAACTCAGCTGATTGTCTCACCACCTCAATTGCTGCATCTTTGCACTTGTTCAGGTTGACTTGAATTACCTCAATCTGTTTGGTCTTCTTGCTCATCTCTTCCTCATTTGGTACTGCATCCTGTTCATCAGGGATAAATGAAGGAATGGACAGATTACTACTACTGCTCATTTAATTACTAATTTCTACATTTACTATTGCTGACGGGGAAAAGGTATGCCTCAAACGGTCACCATTAAAAACCCCGCCGAAAATGAAAGCACTACAGATCATCCGATAATTAATTCAATCATTAATTCCGGTCATTTCAGTTTAGGTTGTGGGTTGGTCAGTCCCTTCCCCACCACCTTCGCTTCCTCTATCTTCTTCCATTGGGTTGTTTTCTTCCTCGTCGTCGATTCCTCCGCACGTCAGCTGGATACCCGCGATTTGTTTAACAATCTCTCTGGAGGGGCCTTCTAACAGGGCTTTAATTTCCTCCCATTCCGCTGTAATCTTGTCCAGTTCCTCGTGTGTCAAGTCATCGTTTACATCTCCTTCGAGGATTTTCTCAATTTATTCGGCCCGTTTCTCTGCCCTTCGGATCTCTCCCATCTTGTGCAGGTTGAATTCTA